TCCAGATGTGGGTCGAAATAGGCTCATCCTGGCCCAGAGGGGGAAAGAGGAGATCATTAAAATCCAAGCCCAAACACACAGTACGGCGCGCTCAGCATCACAAAGACACGCAATTAGGCACCAGCTAATATACCTGCTTAGGCATGGGAACCTTTTCACATATGGCTATGCATCAGTGCACATTTAAGTATGAGCGTATGCGTGTGTGCTCGAACATGCACGCACAAGCTGTCAATCAAGCAACGCTAAATATGGGTCAGCACGGATTTAACTACTGTGTGATTAGCGTGCGATCAAGTCAACATCAAAGACACACAGGAGCATGTGTGTCTTTGATTCACAACCAGGTTTGGAAACTACAGCTTACACCAGGTGGACTTGAGCAGTGGCAGTGGGTTTTATGGTAACATTTCAGTGCAGCATAAGTACTTAAAAAAAATAAAAAATATACGCCCTAACACCTAAAGGCATGCCACCTGTTGTAACTAAGAGTGTGAAACTGGCTAGCAAGTAAAGAAAGTGATGTAAACTGTTAGCTAACTGCTATATAACTGCTAGCGTAAAATTATATAAAAAGATTTTGGGAAAAAAATGTACAAAGACTAACTAAGAGAATTACAATAACAACGGAGTGTCAAAGATAGTTTACCTAAAAGTAATCAAAAAAATAGCTAAAATAATTAGCATGACTAAAACTGCTAGCTTAAATTAGTAGGTAATATGTTCAGTTAAAACAGCTAAAAGCAGGTTTATCTAGCTTTTAACCATTAAACAGTTGGAATAACTAGAATTACTAGTGATGTACGATACCACTGATTTCCTTTCCGATCTGATACCAAGTAAAATTCAGGGTGGTATCGACGATACGGATCTGATACTTTGTGCAAAAACTTAATGTTTTATTGTATTTCAAATTATAGCTTCATTATGATTACAGGGCATCAGACTACTTGTTCCTATTGTTTAATAGGTCTGCCCCAGGGCAGCTGTGGCTACAACTGTAGCTTGCCTCCACCAGTGTGTGAATGTGAGAGTGAATGAATAGTGGAATTGTAAAGCGCTTTGAGGGTCTCAAAAAGCGCTATATAAATGCAATCCATTATTATTATTATTAATAATGCAGAATTATCAAATAGAAATAAAAAAAACCTGAAGTTGTGAGCTATTTGAACACGCTGCCTGCCTGCAGCACTAAAGGACTCCAAGAGACGTCTGCCTCACCCTAGCAGCACCTGTCCCTCTCCTCTCCTCCTCTTCAGTTCGCCTCGTCATATTCTGTGATATGATTTACTCTGAGGTGTTTGACAAGGTTAGTAGTGTTGCCACAACACCTCACTGTCTTGCCACATGTATCGCAAACCGCATCTTGGCTGTTTGTGGAGGAAATATACGTCTACACACAACTCCGTTTATGCTCAGCTGCTGTTGTGAGTGCACATGCCAAGGGGCTGCCACACATTCATACAGCTGTAAGAGAAAGTAGTTCCTTCCAAATGATATAGTTTCTTTCCACTGTGTTCCTGTTAATGATAAACTACAAATTTACCCCAAATTACTAAAATATCGATATTTTAATATGAGAATCGATTCTAGAACATAAATAACTGGTATCAATATCAATCAATATCGATCCGCACATCACTAAGAATTACCACCTCACAGCTGAATGCCCCCACCAGCCAAGTCTGTCCAGAATCCCAACTTACAGTGAAGACTTGAAAAGGACTGGATCAAATGTGCTCAATGTATTTATCCTTGCCCAATAAAGCTGATTCTGACAGAACACCAAGCTGAGACCGCTGGTGTAGACGGTGCTTGAAACGTGACTGTTGCTTCAAAGATGCTGCAAATTCTAACTAGTGGATGACTCACACATATCAGTCTGGCAGGTTCAAGCTATAGGGAGGGCACCTAGTTTTAGTGACGAAGCTGATTCAATGGCTTCCCCCAGGTGAAATATAGTTACAACCTCCCTGTTTCTGAGTTATGGCTTTGAATAATGACATAATGATATTACAGTGAAGAGACGATCGACCCATTGGAAGAAAAAAATGTGATCACATCGTTAATTTCATCCTGTTTGACATTTTGCATAATTAGCATTTGGAGCTATTTATTAACAAAAACACTGAGTCAACCATTTAACTGTATTTTATATATCCTATCTGTTCAAGTTGAAGTTTAATGGATGAAAGAGAAAATTAGCTAGAAGAGGTGGATATCGTTAAGTTGAAAGTTATGGATAAAAGTGAACCCAATTTACAATTTGACTGACACTAGTGATTTTCATTAACCTCCAGACATGTCTGTTTGTGTGCCCCCTGACACATGCAAACTATGTTTTTTTCATTCTTTGTAATTATTTCAATTAAATTTCTCACAAGAGCCACAGTATACGTACATTAAAGTGTCAGAGGATAAAGAGTCTAAATGACCATATTTTGTCAATCTAAGGAGTATAATGCACATCAACATTAACATTAATTCTGTATTCAGTAATTGTGTAGGCTGTTTAAACCTATTTAAAATGCGATAAATCGAGTGCTGTTGACATCAAGCTGTAACGTCTTTGGATAAAAAATGAAACCAAGTTCTTCTAATGCTCATTTGAGGCTGGCTCCAAAAGCAAGTCAGTCCCCATAGACTCTCTTTGTAAGATGGCCAACTAAATAGCATTATAAGGCATGTTTACAGCCTAGTTAAACTAATTGTTTTGGATAGTTTATGTCTAACGACTGTACAGAGGGTGATTTGTTTTCAATAACTCATGCATCATCGATACTGGTAAGACATAAAATCTAAAAGTGTGGCTGCTTTAATCGACAGGACCCTGTAGCTGATTGCTGTCTGTTAGGCCTCACCCCTGCAAATTTTGGCTCATCAGACTGGACATGTTGACTGTGTTTGTACTGTTGGGTATTTTTTAATGCCGTTATAAGAAAAATAATCAGGCTTGCTGAGAATGGAACAGAGCTGGTGCGTATAGGATTAGACTGTTAGCACTCATTAGCAGATATTCATCAGATCGCTAACAAAGCTTGTCATCTGGCAAATATGCATGTCAACCTTTCATCTAGATATGGTCACATCTGATTCCTAAAAAACAATATTGTCATGGTTCTTTTCCAAATGCTAACTTTACAGTCCAAACTCCACGGTGGCTATGTCTATCATTTATAAACAGTCTATGGTTGATACAGGAGCTGGGAGCTCATTGAGTAGGACACAATATGTCCAATATACGGTACTGTGCAAAGGTTTTGAACCACCCCTCAATTCATTACAGTTTCCTTCCAAGAAGCCAGAGTTTCATGTTATTTTTAAAAAGTGGTTTTAACCCTTTCATGCATGAATTATGACAACCTCAATTAGGATTTTTTTTCTTAAGTATTTTTATTCTTTAGGCATGAAAAGATGAATAAAGAAAAAAATCCTGATTGAGGTTGTCATAATTCATGCATGACAGTGTTAAATAACAATAATTACAGTGAAACACTTTATACACCTATAGTAGCATTAAACGACCAGTGGGTGGCAGGGTATGAAGCGTCACATCAGTCCAATGTAGTGGTTTATGTGCAAGTATGCCATCAACACTGACGCAAATACAAGAAAACACCCTTTGAATAGCTGTCCACTGTAGTGACCACTATGAGTGAAACGGTCAAGGAAATAGTTGTGTAGGCTTTCTGAATGTCTTTCAATTTTTTTTCTTTGGACATTGGTTGCGTTTTCACCAATTTTTTAGTCTGGTCCGTGTTTTCAAAGAATTTTTTTTAGGTCACCTAACACTGACCTATGATTGTTTAAGAATAAATATGGAACCTAACTCAAATAATGGACCAGTGTTGTTTCCATGGCGATCCAGGGTGGCTGTAAATAAGCCTTTCCTAAGGAAAGGCAATGGGAAGAAAACTTTAAGGAATGCCAAATTCCATGAGAACTGTCCACTAATCAGACCATATTTAAATTACCTGTCTAATATTTTGTAGGTCCCCACCATTCCAGGATATGAACAGAGAACCTCTGACACCAGGGCGTTGGCAGCTGACCTTCTGAGTTCTGTGGGTTTTAGAGTGGGACCTCCATGGATCTGGTTTCTTCTTGCACGTCGCATACAAACTTGATCAGACTGGGATCTGGGAATGTTGGAGGCCTTGGGCTGTTACTGGTGTTCTAATACAATAACTGTTTGTGAAAATTGCCATTAATAACAGCATAGCAGGGACGTTTTCCTGCTGGGAACGACTGCTGCTGTTGAGTGGATGGCACCTGTCAGAGGAGCAGAACAAATTGATTTACATTATTTACCTGTCAGTAGCTTTAAAGTTGTTTGTATTGTGCCACAGTACAAGACAGCAGACTGCAAAATGCTGCAAAATAGAATGTAACCTGTGCTCAAAATCATCCTCTGCCACACAGCCGGTAATGAACTGTGTCTGCAGTATGACTGAGTAGTGTGGTTTTTCAGGATATTGAGAGGCTGGCGGTTCAGCTTGGATTCTCTTGCCCTTGGCCAGATCGAAATAGGACTTTTTCAACTCAGAATCTCATTCCTGTCGTCGTCACAGCCGGAAATATATGATGAGCGTCTCTTTCTCAGCAGTAGACCATGGATGATCACATTTTACACGCCCGTAACCTTTCACAATAAAAGACGAGGCCGCTGTCCGTGGTGCTGAAACCACTCTGCTTCCCTCCCTGCTAATGTGTCGTTTCACAGTAACGTGGCGCTTTTTCTTTAGCGTCCTTCCTGCTGCTGTGGAACTGTCACTTAAAAATAACTGTAACAAAAGGTTGACGGCGGCAAGAGGATCACCTAGTGTGTTATGAAAGTGAATAAATGAGAGTAAAAGGAGTGAGGGATCTCCATCTCTATTGCTCTCTCACTCATGCACACAGAGCGAGAAGGAGAGAGAGAGAGAGAGAGAGAAGGGGGAGGGAGTCCGTTCAAGCAGAGATAATTAGAAGAGTGGGTCACTATTGGAAGAAAGCAACCGATAAAGTCAGGGGGAAAGGGGGAATACGAATCAAAGCCGCATAATAATATGAGAGGAGGGAGACAAGAGTCTTAAGTCTTAATGGAGCATCATCAGCACTGAAGTCCAGCCCTGGCAGACGCGAGCAGTTTCCTCCGGCTCGCAGCGTCCAATTACAGCGGAGCAGCTCAGCCTGTGTGGACTCCTCAGCGCTGCCCAGCCAGGAGCGAGCAGGGCAGAGGGAGGGAAACAATGTTCCGACGCTTTCCCCTGCTGTGATTTCAAGTGGAATTCCTCTTTTTGTTTTTAAATTATTGTTATTATTGTTAAAAATTCTTATTATAGTTTTTCTTTCAAGTCGCCCGACCGCTGCTGCCGAGACCAAGTCCGTGCACGCAAAGAAAAGGGTAGGTTTTAAATGCGCTTTCCTTTCCTTTCTCGCCTGGGATAGTGAGACTGAGGTATCTCATACTGCCGGTTGTTAGCGACCCCGTTTGACGTTTGATTTAAATCCACATTGGTTGATTTTGTTTGTTTGTTTGTTTGTTTGTTTGTTTGTTTTTTCCTTTTCTGTGTTGAAGTAACAGAAAACTGTGCAGCCCACTCACACAGATACCAGAAAGGGAGTAAAACAGAAGAGGTGGCTTGTTTTGGGAAATGTTATTATTATCATCTCATAGTTGAAGCTGGGGAGAACACCATTTTTAATATTTTTATTCCTTTTTGGGGATTTTGTTGTTGTTGTTTTTCCCCCTGTCTGTGAGTACGTGTTACTTAAACTTATAGGTGACATATAACCGTTCCTAGAATATGTTAATTGAAGTGAAAAAAAAATAAGACCCTTTCGTTTCTGTATAGTGTTAATACTACAGCAGTATCTAACCTGGTCTTTGTATTATTTTTGTGAGTGTGTGTGTGTGTGTGTGTGTGTGTGGGGGGGGGGGGGTAGTAACACGCCCTACAGACTTCAAATTCAGCAGCCTAGTGTAAAGTCCTGACATGGAAAGTCTGTCTAACTGTGTGTGTGCTAAATCACTTGTTATTGCTGTGTATGCTTGTGTAGTTCAAATCAATCTGGTGCATCTGCTCACTTCTCCTTGCAAGATGCCAGATTTTTGTTTGTTTGTCTTTTTTGTTACAATGATTGTACATGAGACGGACAAAAAATGTAAATACCTCCCGGTATACAACACATATAACACACATATCGAGTACAAATACTGCAAGTCCAATTCCGTACTGACACACGCATCACTCAAAACTCACCTTTGTATACATGACTACTATAACAGGGTTATTGCATTGCACAGCATTATACTTTGCAGGTGTACCTAACAAATGGGCCAGTGAGTGCACATAAATAAATAATGACCTATACAGCTCAACAGCAGCACAAAAGGCAGCCGCCATGAAACAGAATCAACACCTGTCAAAGAGAAAAGAAAAGAAAAAAACTTGAGGAATGATGAGCGTCACATATTCTGGGTTCCGCTGCAGAGCGGTTGTATCTCACTGCACTGGGTCTGCCGGATAAACTGGGTCATCACTGTTTGACCAGCTGTCAAAGGTTCTTGCTGTTTGTCTTGACACAGAACTCCAGGCGTGATTAATTAGCAATCCGGTCACAGCAGTGATTTGGAACTTTGTACTTTGTGTCCTCATGTGTCAGCGCTACGATGCTTAAACAGTTCTCTTAGACTGTAGAATACCTTTCAGACAACTTACACTAATGTCACTGCAGACAGAGCTGCAGCATATCCAGATTATCTGACGAGCTGCTGCTGCTATTGGAGATATTTTAAAGTGAGGGACCAAGAGTGATATATGATTAGCATGCAGTAGTGTAACCCTACAGGAAGACCACCCTGCTTTCTTATTTGGAATTTTAGACGTCTCTCTTCCCTAATGTCAAGAGTTGTAATGTGCTTGCCTCTGCTTAATTGCTATTCTGCACATGAAGCGGTGTGGAGCCAAACAGCAACCCCCCCCCCCCCCCCCCCCCCCCCCCCCCTAGATAGGACCTCGTTTGTTTAACTCTGAGGGTGGGGAATCTGTCTTCCGTGGACATATCCGTACAGACAAGTTGACTTCTTACGGCTGCAGAGATGTTTAATTTTTCATTGGCTACTGTCTGCCAGACAATGATGACTGAAATGTCTCATGGCTGTAATTGTATAGTACCCTCAATTCTGGCCTGACTTGATACGGGCAGATGGCAAAGATCAGCTGAAATAAGAAATTCATGAGAAAAAAAAAGAAGCAGATTCTGTTAAAGTTTCATTAATTCCTGCCTGTATGCCAGACTGTACAGATAACCACAGTATAGGCTAGGTGTCAGAGTGCAATTTGACACACACCTGACATCCATTACTTGGAGTCAGCAGATGCTGTCACTTCCATGGCAACAAAGAAACATAATTTATGAGGATTCAGTGGCTCCTACCGCAGACAACCACTGCACACCCAAGTATTACAGAAGTGCAATATAGATGGATGATAAGCAATCATTATCGGAGCATTTCATTTCATTTCTGGACACATACGCTTTCACACACAGTTTCACTGCTGCTTGAGTAATACCTGCACTTTCAACTCGACTGCTATAAACAATATTTACAATTCAGATTCGTCCATCCAGAACAATGGGGGAGGGGGTGGGGGGGCAGCCGCTTAAAAGAAAACAGTCGCATAGAAAAAGAAAATCCATTCAAGTTAATGCTTCTGTCAAATCCAGGGAAATATAAGAATGGAAGGGATTGTTCTGCTTTGCCATACAGGATGATCTGTCTTCCCAGCATTTGCCTTCAAACTTGTCTGATCTCATCCATCCTTAAACCTTCAAACGTGAGTGGTGTTTGTCAGTGTCGTACTGGGCACAGCAGAAAAACAAGAGGTTTGAAGCCCGACTGATGAAAACGGACCAAAATGTATATAAATATTAAAATAAATCAATCAGTCAAACTGCTTATTTTAATCTGGGGCAAATTAGGCAGCCTGTCAGATGCGGCTACTGTGAGAGAAACGGCTAGGACTGATCGCATCCACCAAGCTTGACAATTAGAATGGACAGTGTGCGACAGAGAGAGGCTGGAGGAAAATGTCTGTGAAAATGGAAAAAAGTTGTGAGAGAGCACATGCGTATGTGTGACGTTGTGTTCGAAAAGGTGACACAGCCTGCTGCCAGCAGTGTTTACTAAGTGAGTAATTGAGGCACGCATACACAAACACACAATTGGCTCATTTATGTTTATTGTTCTCTCAAAATTTGCACTTAACTATAATTTCTTCAGGCAGGAAGACTGACACCATGCTGTAAAGATGAAGTTAGAGCCAAAGTTAGTTTGGCTTATCATAAGGACTGGATACAAGAAACAGCTCGCTCTAAGTACCCACTCAGTTTTGGCCGCTCAGCACATTTAGGAATGCAGATATGATCAAGACGATCTGCTGAAGTTCAAGCCGAGCATTAGAGTGGGGAAGAGGGGTGATTTAAGTGACCATTATAGTGGTGTTGTGAAAGCCACGGGGGCTGGTCTGAGTACTTTAGAAACTGCTGAGATTTTCCTGCACAACCATCTCTAGGGTTTACACAGAACGGTCGAACAAAGAGAAAATATCCAGCGAGTGGCAATTCGCTGAACCAAAATGTCTTGTTGAAACCGGAGGTCAGAGGAGAATGGCCAGACTGCTTGGAGCAGACAGGAAGGCAACAGCAACTCAAATAACCACCTGTAACAACTAAGGTGGCAGAAGAGCATCTCTGAAGCCACAACTTGAAGCAGATGGGCTAGAGCAGTAGAGGATCACTCCAGGTGCCACTCCTGTGAGCTGACAACAGGAAACTGAGGCTACTATTCGCATGGGGCCACTGAAAGTAAACAACAGAAGATTGGAAAAATGTTGCTAGATCTGATGAGTCTGTTTCTCATCCAGGGTCAGAACTGGGCATAAACAAAGTGAAAGCATGGATCGATCCTCCCTTATGTTAATGATTCAGGCTGCTGCTGCTGCTGTAATGCTGTTGAGCATATTTTATTGGCACACTTTGAACATTATTTAAACACCGTAACCTACCCGAGTATTGACCACAGTGTACCCATCTCCTGATGGCTGCTTCCAGCAGGATAACACATCGTGTCATAAAGCTCAGATCATCTTATACCGAATGGTTTCTTGAACATGACAATGAGGTCAGATGGTCTCTACAATCCCCAGATGTGGTGGAAGAGGGGATTTGCATAATGGATATGCAGCTGACAAATCTGCAGCAACTGTGTGATGCTATTACATCAATGTGGACCAAAATCTCTGGGGAATGTTGAATCTGTGCCATAAATGATAAAGGCGGCTGTGATACAGTTGCTGCACTTGTCTAATCATTGTAGCTTAAACCAAAGCAGGTGCCGACTCCTAACCTAAAAGCTAGTCAACTCAAAGTGAAAACAAAGCTCAGCTGTTAGTGAAAAAAGAACACGAAACATGGCGTTCAGGTTAACAGTGTGGTGATTTATGTCACTGACAGCCCACCTGTTTTTTTAAAAACAAGTATTAAGGCCGTCCAGACAACGTCCATCTGCTTACACACACATATACTAATGTTGGTTATTACAAAGTGCTGTAACTTTGGAGCTTGTTAGAAAATTTGTAAGAGATTTAAACATGGTGTTCACTGTTTGTGCAGCGTCTACAAGCAAGTGTCTCCACATTTGTATTTTGCTTGTTTACATTTTTGTATTTTGCACAACTCTGTTGCTTGTGAAGCTCGCACACAAGAATTTCACTCACATGTGCTGTACCAATGTACCTGCACATGTGATGTGACAATAAAAGTGATTTGATTTGATTTGATTTTGAATCGGAAGAAACGGAAGACAATGGGCCAAAGTTTTGCTAACTGAAACTGTCTGCATTGTATTTGTGGTCTGAGTCTGACTTAACCAATCATGTTTGAACAGGTAATCCATCACCAATCCATCAAATAGCAAGCATAGACCTGGATATACTGATATCGTGGCTAAAGCAGAAGATCTGGAAATTTGGCTCCTCCTCCCAGAGGCTAGTTAGTGAGGTTCCCAGACTGATGTATGTGTGTTTGCCTCTTATTATAATCATGTAGTCTGTTAGTAAGTGGGCAGCAGTTTCATGCTCTGTATTCTTTTATAAAAGGTTCTTGGTTAGTGAAAATGAAATGCTTTTGCTTTGCATTAAATCCATCCATGGTCAGTATACAGTATATAGTGGACTGTGTACAGCACCTTCATGGTGGTACAAATACAATGACTGATTTATTACTTTGTCTGGTTTCCTTTGAATTGTTAGCTGTGTGTACTTTGTCAGTTAGGGTCGCACTCTACACCTGTTGTCTGAGTACAATTTAATTGTCTAAAATAGCAAAACAGAAGCAAAAGCACACCCTAGAAAAAAGGTTTTTTTAAAAAACTATGAATTTAAACTTGTTACATTTTTGGCCACATTAGTTTGTTCTATTCATATATAATAAGATATACATGTGATATAGCAGCAGCCTTATTTTTATGTCAGACATTTTCTGACACACTGCTTTTGCAGTGTTGCTTGTATTTCATCATACTAACCAGATTTGGGGGAGAAAAAAACGAAAAAGAAGGCATGGAGCAACAGAAAACAAGTCGCAAGGCTAAAACGGGTCGAAAACCTTCTCCTGAGCTGTGAGCAATTATGACGTGATGTTTCAGCCACCCTTCCCGGACCACGAAGGCATAAAAATAAATCTTATGTGGAAAATGGAATGGAATATTGATTATGCAGCGCTGCAGTCGCCGCTGTGCTTTTAGTTCTCAATTATCAGTCGCAAATCAAACTGACTTGCAAGGATTCCAGCACACAGACTTGTTGAGCCTGCGAGAGACACCGTACGCTGATATTTCTAAATTGCTCCGCTCATGGTTGCAGTTTCAGCCAGAGCAGCAGCCTGTATAAAGCGTCGCATGAACCTCAAAACAAAATCAGAGTTTGTGGGTTTATTCGAGGCTCCGTGCAGAATATGTCAATACCTTCAGAGTCTATCTGCTTGCCAGCTTACATTAGCAACAACAGCCTCCACGTCACAGACAGACGTGTCACAGCAGTTTATCATGTGAACTCTTAAATAGCAAAGATTTATCGAGTTTGTCTTAGTATGCGGAGAGGGAGTGAAGGTTTTAGAGTAAATGCTCCTCTGGGAGTGGTGGCGGAGTGCTGCTGCTGCTCAGAGGGTGATTTGGCTCGAGGCAACCTGACAGTGAGCTAGACACACACAGACAGGCACGCACACACACACACACACACAAGTAACCCAGCAATAAGCAACATGCAGTCATTTACTCTGTTTCTCCTCAACACAGACATTCACAAATGCCAGCTCCCCTCCCCACTGCTTTCACGGTGAAAATCAATGGTTGCAGAGCCCAACTGGACGGAGTAATAGTGGAAAAATAAAGAAATCAATGCAGACTTATTAACTGAGCAGAGCTTCCTTTACCGCTGACACAAAAATATGTGAGTGTTTGACTTGTCTGTGTCTGTGAATGATGATAGCTGCTGCTGGTTGTAGACAAGATGTGCGAGCGCATAAGCATATGAGCGTCTTCCTCTATGTGTGTATGCGTCTGCCAGTCAAGAGTGTGTGTCCCTGAACGTTGGTGGCTGGTGCTTGTATATGAGTGTTGTATTGTAGGCGTGCTTTGCATGTTCATGAGCGCTCCTGTGTGTGTTTGTGCATTTTGGTGCGCACCAACAAGACTATCTCTCAAAGTCAGTGTGTTACTCTTGGGTTAGTGCCACAGTGCACTGCCGGAGCCTTGGCCCTCGGTTTATTTGTGGACAAAAGGATGCTCGGAGACAAATGATTTAGCACCTGTCAGTCAGAGCTGAAGGACAGGCGATGAGAAAAGAGAGAGGTCAGAGACTATGGAAAGGGAAAATGATGGCGGCTTTTCAAGGAAACTGTGAAGGGAACAAGGAGAGAAAGAGGGAGGGAAAAGTTGAAGCTGGAAAAAGAGAAAGAGATTCAGAACCAAAAAAAGAGAGTGAGAGAGAGAATTTACAATTTAGCTCTGGGTCATCACATAGCTCAAGTGCCTGTGAGCAATTTTCCCCTGGAAATGACAGCTTCTATTTCTGCAGAGTTGTTTGCCTAACAGCAGCTCACAGGAACTGTGGCTGGCCTTCAGGCCCTGCAAGCAGAAACTTCCCTGATTGCGAGAGTTACCATAACAACGGATGAGGCTGACCTGCACCGATGGCAACGCGGGAATGTGAACTTTGATTCCCGCCTCCAGCACTCTGGCTAGTCTGCTGCACCTCTGACATATCAACACCTACCCTTCTTGGCAAAAACAAGAGCGAGCTGTCGGCGCTGTGAGTGTTTGGTCAGCCAGAATGTAACTGTTCACCAGTGGGTGATGATTTTGTTTGCAGAAACAGATCATTGTGTCAAGAGCAAAAGAGACATTTGTAATTCAGAAATGCCCAAATAAACAAGTCCAGTGCAAAATAATGTTTGCAGAGATGTGCGTGGGCGGACGTTAGGAGCTGCTGGTGAATGCTGAGCAGGGCTTTGTGTGATGCCAGGTTTATTAGATTTCCTTTGGCATTTGTTGACTGACATCTGCCCTGGCAGGTCTCTGCGGCCGCTCTCTCCCTGACTCTTGGCTCGCTCTACAAACCAACAAGCCTTAATCATCTTATGTACACTTTCCCACGTGGTCAATAAAGATATATTGCTGACCTCGTTTTTTTTTTATGCCGAACAAAGCGCCTCCCTCCACAAAAACGTGGACAGCACAGACAGAGGCTTAGCTAACAAGCATCTGATTGTGCAGATTACCGCGTGTTCCGCGAGGGATTACCGAGACAGAAATGAACAAATTGACCTCTTACCACCAAAATCCCACATCAGCAAAACAAAAGATAAGAGTCAAGTCTCTGCTGAATCTAGAAAAAGTGGAGTATACATTGTACTGCAAAACAAGTGTCAGCAGCATTATTTAAAGAAGCCTGCCCCCGCCCGTTGTGTTATTTTTGTCACTGAGTCCTTTCAGTTTGCAGAACCTGATGACTCCATGGGTACCCTTTGTGTGTGGGCCATCCAGACTCTGTATGCGTGCGGTTTTTAAAAAACTGAGCAGCCCTGGAAGCAAGGAGAGAAATGCACGAGCTGTATTCTGGCAGTGCGTCGTTTGCATTGATGTTGGGCTCATGTTCTAACAACAAATATCTGACTGTGCACCCTGTTCTGAGTGTATTCTTAGCCGAGGGCAGGCGTCTTCCTCTCCGGTTCCCCTTCTGACACTTTTCAAGTTAAGTCAAAGCTATTTAGAAGTCATCTCACTGTGAGAAGTAACAAAGGCTCAATGACAGACCAAGGCCTAATTCAGAATTCAATTTTTGTGCTTTCTCTTCCCAACAATAGAAATACCTAATTTCTCTGCATGCTTGTTTGGCGAGCTCCAGAGAGGAAATGGCATGCTTTTGTTAATAAGTGTTTTTTTTTGGTGAGAGGAGACGATTGAAAAGCTTATGTAGGTCACATTGTATTAATCAAGCTGGCTACCCTTGCAAATGTGCTCTAAATGAAACACACAATGTTAAAAAAAAATAATCCAGTTTTATTTCGTATTTGCTTAATACTGCAGCGTGACCGCACTGAGAATTACTTCTCAGCCACTGAAACAGCAATCCCAGTACTTTTACGCTTAGGCATTTCGTCTGGATTATAACGCTGCCTATGGCGTGGACAGGCTTGATATCGGTCCGACAGAAGAGTTCAAACACCCGGCAAATGAAATATTTATCAGTCACAGTTTATTTCAGGCACAGGACCCTTTCATCATTTAGCTTTAATGAGAGCTGTGTGCATTCTGATGATTAATAGACTAAACGATCTTCAGATCGTTCCGAGCAAGATGCAAATACTATCAGTTATCTGTCCGGGAGACTCTTTAAGTAAACTAGGATTTTTCACAAGTTAGACAAGCTTAACGGGGGCCGGGGTACGAGCGAATGTTTTCTAACAATGTGAGATTTTAGATTGGATCAATGAGACATCGTCTTCTCTGCTGGAAGAAGCTGCTCCAGGACGAGGCAGGTGGCACAGTAAAGCACGGTAAATCAACCTGCTGTCACGGGGACAGAATGACAGGCTCAGTGTGACATTTCAGTGCATATTACATCTCCAGCCCTCCGGTATCCTCGTGTGACCTGCTGCAGATTAACTATTTTGAACACTGCCGGCCAGCATTGAGTTTTGATGTGAGCAACCAAGCAGAACAATAAATCCCTTCTGGACCGTATAGATGCAAAAAAAAAAAAAAAAAAAAAAAAAAACGGGCGGAAAAAAAGAAGTGCATGGATGAGTTGCTCTGCGATGGGTTTATATCAAAGCAAGACGTTGCTGTAAGGTGCAGCGAGCAGCCGATGCTGATGGTTTTGATCAGATGATTAGAGCTGGTTACCACTGGAGAGTTGCTTTGAGGAGGTAAATGTGCTTTCTGAGATTACAGAGTTCAAAACAGAGACCGTGACTCTTTGCTACACATTTGTGTGTGTGCGTGATTGTAAGACAAAGAAAGAGACCGAAAATGAGGGAGAGTGTGTTTGTGCATGCATTAAGCAGACAAGAGAGAGGTCCTTGAGGCAACCTGAACATCTTTTATCACATCTTTAATTAATTGAAGCCTATAATAGAAGCTGCTGCAGTCCCGCAGAATAGACACAGTTGAATGGATAATAGCTGGGGATGAAGAGATACGCTTGTTTTTGCTTGCTTTCTTGTCAATCCTCCCTTGCCATTTCACAGTTATATGCTTTAACAGCACATCTGGAGCTGCTGTCAGTCTCCGCTTTGAGAATAAAGTGCATTAACCAAGAAGAGAGAAATGTTTTCCCCTTTTTTCCCATCTTTTCAGGTTCTGCCTCTGAAGACCTACTGTAAAGCCGTCATGGGCCTCTTGTGGTTCTCCAGACTAATCCTGATCATCCTAGTCCTCATCCCGCAGCCGTCCCTGGGCTGTCCCTCCGGCTGTCGCTGCTACAGCCTCACAGTGGAATGCGGATCTCTCGGGGTCAAAGAAATCCCACAGGGCATCCCGTCTGTCACCGAGGTCAGTTGGACTGTATGTTAGAGCACTAGTTGCCCGTGCCCCCGCCCCATCCAAACACACACACATGCACACCAGAGGTTTTCAGTTGACTTCCTCTCTGATCCATTCTTATTACCCTGAAATGATTGTGGTTAATCAATTCACCGTGACCCTCTTTGATGTAAGCCTGAGGGAAGGGCTGCGCTGTTGGCTGTGTAATTATTCATTCTTGCTCAGAGCGCGACTCTTGCACAGCTCTGATCATCTGTTGCGAAGATGTTTAACATTATGCCGTGGTTTTTTTTTCTCTTGGGTTCAACCCCCCCAACATCACTGCAGCTCATGAATATTAATGTAAAGCATGCCCTGCATAAATTGTTCCATTAACCTCAATCAGCAGGTCTATCTCGTCCATCACACTTTACCTCGTGGCCCCCGTGTTTTCTTCCAAGGAAGCGTCACAGATGAATGCATATTACCAATCAAGCTGCAAAATTGTGCATGCCAGATCCAACGCAGAAAGCACGTCTCATAAAAAAACTCAGTCTAATGTTCTTTTTTGGGGATATGCTGACTTAAAAGACCTGTGATTTCTGACTAAGACACGTGAAACGCAACCAACTACCATTACTACCACAGTGCTCATTCAGGCAGAATATAACCCATGTCCTTCTCAATTTACAGATGGCCCCTAAACACATCACATGCAGGTAATCATATACTGACAACAAGAAGGTTGCACTCACAGAATGTGCGTGGGTGTCACTGTGCCGGCTCAAAGTGGGGCTCTGCAGAACAGGCAGATTGTTGGCTGCAGCTAAAAGATGTAAATAAAAGATGGACCTAGCCACTGTGACATCACTCATTGTGGAGGCTCAATATGAAGCCTGATTTTGAATGTCTATGTCTTCACCCGGTGTTTTGAAACTGAACGTGTAGGGCAAAGGGGCAGATCTGGTTCAGAAACAGAGGCTCGAAACTTTTCAGTAACATAGTAAAGCATACCCTTAGCCGTCTCTGGGCTGTCCCTCCGGCTGTCGCTGTTCCAGCCTCACAGTGGAGTGCAGATCTCTCAGGGTCAAAGTTCCGGTTTGTTAAGTCAACACATTTTACTCAATTAAAATCATGTTGTATTCATTATGACTTGAAATTAGTGATGGATCCTATTGGGAGAGTAGGATCGCAGACAAGTGAGCTGATATGAGAACCACTCAGCCAAACCTATCTGAAGCTTACATACTTCGGATGTTATTTGGATTCTCAGCAACACATATGCCAGATTTGAGAAAGATCAGATGAACAATGATTACCGATGATAGGTTTAGAGCATACAGACATCATTAGAATTAGTAAGATTATCATAACTGTGAACTAGTTCATTCTGCGGTATATGGAACACCACACATGACTACATTTAACATGCACAGCCCAGTGAGACAGTGTTTCAAGGTGGATCTGTTTCTGGTTTAATCCATTGTGTGGTTAATTTCTACCCGCTGAGTGCAGCACAGCTATAAGCCACACTCATTTTCTTGTACAAAACAAACCTCAGATGAAACCTCACATCCTATCTTCTGTTTCCCTAATGTAATCAATGTGTGATCACTCTGCTAATTTCATTTACCCTGTCGTCCATAAAGACCATTTTCCTCCAGGACAACGCAATAGTGCAGATCCGTCTTCAGGACCTGACTCGCCTTGGCAGCCTCCATTATCTATACCTGCAGAACAACAGCATCTCAGCCCTGGAGCCCGGGGCTTTTCTCGGGCAGGGGCAGCTGCTGGAGCTGGCCCTTAATGGTAACCTCATCCACCTGGTTACCTCTGATATGTTTCGGGGTCTGGAGCACCTAAGGATCCTGTATCTCGCCGGCAACCAGATCACTCGAGTCCAGGACCACACCTTCAGAGGACTACAGGTTAGGTTGTGTCAGCCCGAATGTATTAGTTGGAAATAATTAATGCAAACTTTGAAATAGGTGTTCTAGGAAACAAATATAGAATGTTTTTACAGAATGATGTCTTCAAATTTAACGCTACGTTCACACTGCAGGCGAAAGCGCATCAAATCTGACTTTTTTGACCCTATGTGACCCATATCCAATCATGGTATGACAGTGTGAACGGCACAAATCCGATATTTTCAAATCCGACCTGGGTCACTTTCGTATGTGGTACTGAATCCGATACATATCTGATGTTTTAGAAAGCGACTGCTGTTTGAATGGTCATGTTGCATTAAATCCAGACGCCAATTATCAGCGCCGGAGAAGCGCTCAAGAAGACATCGCGAACGCTTCCTGGCCATCCAGTGAAACTGTTGGGAAGACAACGTTGGAGAAACGTGAACATTTTATTTGTACTGTATAATCTGCAGATTCTGACAGAAATCTGCAACTATCCTTTGAAGCACCGCTCCTCAAAAAACAGCAATAAGGATAATTATTGGGCCATATGTAAATAATAAAATAACTTTATAACTTAAAGCAAAATTGGGAAGCGTAAAGTCCGAAACAAGTCTTTATATTAAGGGCCATCAGTCAAACAATACTGTTTGGTCTGGGTCTAAACAGAGCGAGTTGTGTGTGACGTCTTCTTTTGCACATGCGGGCCGCTTTGAGGGTTAACACTAGAGCGCATTTGCTGTCGCATTTTATTTGTAGTGTGAACAAGCAGACAAAAAAATTGGATTTGATCAAAAAATCAGAATTGAACATTAAGAGCTGCAGTGGGAACGTAGCCTAAGTCTTATTCGTGACTGATGTCTCCTTAATCCCTAGCATGTGGTAATACAGTACAGACTGACTCAGGTGGAGCTGAGACACCCTCCTGTCACTATACTGGATAATTCTATCCCTTATGAACTTGCACATTTTATACTTACCTCTGCTTCCCCTGCTTTGTGCCATTTTTGCTGTCTGCAGCGTCTGCAGGAACTCCACTTGCAAGAAAACAGCATTGAGCTGCTAGCTGAGCAAGCCTTGTCTGGATTGTCGTCTCTGGCCTTGCTGGACCTCAGCAGGAATCACCTCCGCACCCTGGGAGCTTCATCACTCAAACCGCTTGTCAGTCTGCAGGTGCTCCGTGTTACAGGTGGGTAGAATTCCTAGATTATATTAAGTGTTACTATAATATGATAGAATCATCCAACACTGATTTTAATTCAAGGTGCCTTGAAAAACTTCTCTCTTTCCACACTTCCAAATAACTCACACCCCTGCAATAATGTATTTCCAACCACTGAAATTCACACTCTACCAATGAAATTATAACAGCGGGTCACAGCAGGCAGACTTCCGAGAATTAAAACCAGAGGAAAAAGCCAACTAAATTAACAAAACAGCTAATTAATGGGACCTCATGTGGAGGAGCCTGTTTACTCAGATAAAATCTGGTAATCCCTCCTCCCACACTTTTCTAAAGTTGGACTGACCCTTACTGTAACTTCCAAGAAAGCAACAATCCCAACTTCACACTCATTACATTTAATGACAGAGGCATTAATGGATTCAAAGAGTGAACTTCTCTCCAAGTTTGACATTTTTGTCACTGTCTATATGTCCCAAAGAGTGTAAAAAATGTACACAGTCTGTTTTTGTTATTATTTAAACAGCTCTATGATGTCTCTGTGACTATAAACATGAACAATGATTTAGTCTTGATTACTAAGGCCCATGGTCTTGCGGTGGGCTCAAAAGAACTCCACAGCACCACAATATGTTTTTTGTCCTGTCTCACTCCCATTATCCTCAACTGGTCACGGCAGAGCCTGGTTCTGCTGGAAGTTTCTTATGTCCTGGGTTTGAAATCTTGGTAAATCTAAATTGCCCACAGGTGTAAATGTGAGTGCAAATGGTTATCTGTCTCTCTGTGGTAGCCCTGCGACAGGCTGGCAACCCGTCCAGGGTGTACCACGCCTCTCACTCTACAGCAGCTGGGATAGGTTCCAGCCCCCCTTGACCCTGATTGGATAAGTGGAAGAGAATTGATGGATAGATTAACTGAATTGAATTAGAAAGTTGATATTACATGAACAAAAAAATATATTTAACAAATCCACTTCAGTAGATCATGCAGGTGGCCAGGGTTACTTTCCACCATGCTATCAGATTTATGCTAGGTTAATTTTGACCTTGAAAACTGCGTTCCGTTTATGTCTGTTTCCTTAACTGCTTTCTTTCATTCCCCTATAGAGAACCCATGGCGCTGTGATTGCGCTCTTGGCTGGCTGAAAACCTGGATAAGCGAAGACGGACAGCGTCTCTTGAGTTCTGCAGAGCAGCGTCGGCTAATGTGCTCTGAACCTCCTCGCCTCTCCCACCTCAGCCTGGTGGAGGTACCTCCAAACAGTCTGGTCTGCATCCCTCCAGTAGTGCAGCTCGAGCCAAGCCACCTGACCGTTCGCCTAGGAGAGAGTCTTCGAGTCTCCTGCCAGGCCTCGGGATACCCTCAGCCTCAAGTGACTTGGAAAAAAGCCTCCCATGGTAAACCACAGTTGTCACCTCGAGGCCTGGTTCAAGAGCTGGGACCCAATGGGGAGCTGTTTAGGCCTGGGGCCGGTGGAGCGGTGACAGCCTTACCAAGCAGTGGGGGGATCAAGGTGGGAGGTGTTGGAGCAATCCACGGGCCTGTACGTGGAACTGAGGAAGGTGGCGAGAGGGACAGCTTTGATCCAGACATGGGCAGCGGCATGCTGTTTCTCAGCAATGTCACCGTAGCACATGCTGGGCGCTACGAATGCGAGGCCTGGAACCCTGGTGGTGTGGCTAGGGTTACTTTCCACCTAGCAGTCAACATGTCTTCTTCCTCCTATTCATCTCAGTTTTGGCCTCGTTTGAACACTCACTCCTATGTTTCATCTTCGTCCAACTCCTTTTACCAGCCTGAGGTTGTGGATGTTAGCCAGGAGCCTCTGTATGAGCAAGACAGCATGGACTTTAATGCCCTGGGCCCTGCCACACAGACTGCTATTGCTGTTGGCATCTCCTTGCTGGCACTCACTGCTGTTCTCCTCTTGATTATGATCTACACTCGTCACCAGCAGTATCAGAAAGATGACACTGGCTCCTATTGCACGAGCAAGGAAGAGAGCATCCTCTATGTGAACGACTACTCTGATGGACCCACCACCTTTGCGCAGCTGGAGGAGTACCGCGATGACCATGGCCACGAGATGTACGTACTCAACCGAGCCAAGCCGGTCCTGGGTTCCACTTCGTCTGCATGTCCCATGATGAGCGGGTTTGTCCAACAGAAGGGCATGAAGGAGGCTCTCCTCAATCACGAAATGGTTCAGACTCTGACACGATCGGGGGGATTGGGACTACGCAGAAACCCAGCGGATGGGGGAGAGGGGCCCCTAACAACAGACCCAGAAGAGCTCTTCCTCAGTCAGAGTCTCCTGTTCGGATCACAGGTTGCCTATGAGATCCATTGTTAAGGAGTCATTATTATGCTCTGGCATGAAACAATATGTTGATGGACTTTTAATTAAAGACAATAATGGAAATCACCTTGGTGCAGTGATTTGAAGCATCAGATTATTATCTGGCCTTTTAAAGAGGGGAGATTGTCAGTCAGTAATTTCTGGGGGAGCCTGGTTCACAAGTGGCCTCTGAGAGAGCTTCTTGATTGACTGTATGACACTCGTGATGGGTTAAGAAGACTGACGATTGAAGGGGAAATAACACATGAACCACAGCTTTCTGTCTCAAAATCAACCCTTTAAGGATAACTCTAGGTGGGTAACCTCGTCAGAAAAGTTTAGTTACACTAAAAAGAGGCTGAAACGATGCAGCACACAGTGTCTGCTTTATTCTAATTTCGTTCGTTACGCTTTACTTTTCGTGTTTCGTCTATGTTTTGTGTAGTATATTACAAAGTTAATTCTCAGAGTGAAGTACAGTTGTTTTGTGAATCCTGCTACACATCCCATTAGAATTAGGCCTAAAGCAATCCTCTTACTGAAACTACATTAACATTACCCATATGTGCGAGTGGGTGTGGGTAGGTGGATTTGTTTATAGAGGTTCATTCTGAATGCAGAAATCTAGTCTTTTTTATGTTTGTATCATAGCATTGTTTTTCTTGATGTTAACATGTTGTGTTGTTTTATACCTGCTGACTGCAACACTAGAACAAGATATTAGCATTTCTAATGTGTGAAGTCGACTCTCTGAAAGAACTCAAGCTTCATTAACGTCAGTCTGTGATTACCATTATGATGTTAATAATGTACATTTTGTCTTTGGTTTCTACATAATAAAATGTATTTTAAAAGAGAAAGTTTTTCCCTTTCCCCTCTTTTTCTGACTCTATAGACCATATTTGAAGTGTGTAGTTTTTCCCTGTGGTCTTCCCTTCATTCTATGAGATGTGAAAAGGGCTTTATAGAGAGACTGTAGATCTGAGTCACAGTGTAGAGGCCAGTCTGTGAGAGGTCAATGGTTCATAAACCATTTATTCTTTCCCTTTTCCGCTAAACACTGCAGATATCAAGTGTCCTTTCACAGCTACTTGTGGACTAAGATAGATGGTTGCAACTGAAAATGTGTTGAAAACCCAAATAATCTCTGCTGCTTTACACCAAGACCCAGAGCTGTATTGATTCTTGTTCAAAAACATGTCAATATTCTTTTTAAACTGGCCTCTCTGTAGGTATTTTAAAGCTGTTTATTACTGAGTATTAAATGTCATGGTTATGCTATGCAGCTTAATAAGGATTACAGCCAAAGGACATGTTTTAAAAATGTAAAGCCTGCTTCTGTCTGCCACTAACACTGAAAGTATCAGCACGATGCCACGGAGCCAAATAAACAAAAGTATTGTATAGTCTGAGAATGCTCTCTTAAATAGTCCAGAACTGGTATATGCACAAGTGAACCATCCTGTGCATGTAGTACATTTTTGTTGCAGTATGTGTTTGCTGAAGGTGGTTTCTATATAGCTATATGATAAAACAAGCAAAACTGCTTCAAAATTGTTTGGTTTCATGAACTTTCTAGACAAGAGCCATTTTTGAAACAAAAAACAAACAAGCAGCTCTGTTTGGGGTTGAAAATAGAGAAGGTGGCACGGGCTTCAGGTATCAACATACTAACTAACTTTTAGTGCACAAAACATGGAAATGCAGTGCCATATTTATGATTATTTGCATCATTATGCATTTTGGAACCTAGAGCTTGGCAGACTAAGGAGTAGACATTTTTGTATATATATATCTACTGTAGCCGCCACTATTGAGGTTCATCAAAATTAAGCAATAAGGCACCAGAGAGGTTTGGTGAAGTGGGTCTTACTGTCTGGCTGAAGAGCTTCAGTTTAAAATCATGATTCTTTTATTTGCTTTCCTCTAAGTCTGATATAGATTCTCTCCTGAAGAAATAACTTTTATATAAGCGATCAGTAAAGCTAACGTTACTGAATGAAGCCTACTTACAGTAAACTGTGCAGCACATTATCACTGCAGTGTGCATGTATACAAGTACACTTAGTCCAAATGCTGATGAGTTACACTGTTGGACTTACAGACACTGGAACACAGATTAGAAAACTGATTAGTTACATTTGTAGCCTATCACCAACAATGCCTGTTTAATCGCCAGAATAAAAAATCCTTTATTAGGCTGACAGCAACCTTTAATGTTTAAATGTATCAGTTTAATGTTGCAGAGCTCTAACGTGGAACTGTCATGTTAGAAATAAACAGCAGTACTAAGAGCATTAAAACATAAATGTGGCACGAATGAGGGACCCCACCACATTATCACACTTGTCAACATACACTTTATTTCCTCTTGTGGTTTCCACAATACTCGCACCTGCAGCTTTTCAGTTCCCACCCGCCCATACGCCACCAACAACAACGACTACAACAGCTTCCCCCGCAGCCACGCAACGAACCACACCTCGCCACACCTCGCCACATACCCCCACCACCCAACTGAGGCCGGGGCCATGTCCAGCTGAAGACATCAGCTAAGACTTGTACTTTTTCATAAGTCCTCTAGTGACTGCACCTACTCTGGAAAGAGGTAAGCACACATATACAAACACATGCCAGTGGGAGACACAAAACACAGAAGGAGAAGGACCTCAATGAATGTATCCGCCGTTGCAAATGAATATCAAGAATGTTTTGGAAAAAAGGGAGATCAAATAATCAATTGGCCAACCAACCCACATTAGCATAAAGACTGAGACTAGAAAAACAGCTAGCCTGCCTATTCATTACTACAAATAACTCTGGATTCGTTTTATACCCAGATTTCCGTTTGATGGTATGATCACTAATGGAAAACTCAGTTTCAGGTGACACTGTACATACAGATTTGCCAACAGCAGCATTACCGCCAGGGAGCTAAGCTAACACAAAGGATAAAAGTACAGCATTCCCCAGACAGAAAAAAGACACAACCATCTGGCTGAAACTCACAACAACACCTTCTTATCACAGATGATGTATTATGCTGCCTATCTCACACAATGAAATGTGAAATACTCTTATTCCAGTTGCCCCCACCAAGTAAATGGATTTTCTTTGTGTCTACTATAACACAATTCGCGGGCTGTGTCATTGCATGTCCGACAAAGCTCGGCTCACAATGGTTGTCATGGGCACAATGGATTCAGTACATATAAGTCATCAGGCTAATGTTGCTGTGTCTGATTGAGTCTTACTTTCTCTGTGTGGATCACAGCAGGTAGACAAAAACACAGAAGCAAGCATAAGACTGTCCAATAAAACTGCAGTACATCCAAAAATGGCAACGCTTGCTCGTCTCCATTAAGGCATAAAAGCTGAATGCATTGAAACCACATTGTGCACCTTTGCTAATCACTCCAAATGATTCCCTCGACCAGTTTACCTGCAGACCCATGCTGGTTATTAGAGACCTCCCTAATTGATTTAACAGACAGAAAGTTATGCAAAAATAACACTAATGATGGCAGTAATATGGAAATCAAGACTTTTAATGTACTGCCACTGCTAAGTGCACCTCAAATGAGTAGTCAGTACATGATTTTGCTATTCCAAAATACACGGGCACTTTGCAATACAACATTGGTCACTGTGTGAGTGGATTATTCCCCAATTTTCAAGCAGGAGGCAGTTTATGGTTTCTGAAAGGCATATTGTAGGGATGAATATGTTTAAGATTGAAGAAGAGATTAGAGTTTTTGGTTTATTAAAACCCTTCAAGGACTGCCAAGGGCAGATGTCAACATTAAAAATTGAATTATTTTCATTAAAAAGATAGAACGGGAGAGTTTAGCACACGTTACTAGTATAGTATATATTCACAATAGGTACGCACACAAGCCTTTATTGCTGAGATGTTTTGCCAGTCTGATGTAGCTGTCTCTTTTTTATGCCTAAGTGATCCCATCAATCAACACGTGAGTGAGGATGCAGCAGAGAGGAGTGAAAGCTCATGGTTCTCATACTGATGCTGTTCTTTTCTTTTTTGTTATTTTTTTATTTTGCTATTTTATTTTTCCCCATCTACACCTTTTCTCAAGCATCTGTTTTCATCTCTCTTCAAACTCACTTCCACACAAGGGAATTAATTTTTCTGTAAGGTCAAATATGAGATATGTGAGACTGAATTATTGACACATTTCTGCCTCGCCTGTCCTTTTCCCAGAAGAAGGGTTTGCACAAATTCCATCTAATGCTTCATGGCACTAACTTTGCGCACAGATTTCCTCCGCACATGCTTTTTTGTTTTGGATTTATGCAACTTTGATGGTGTTTAAACTGTTTTACAACGTAAGATCAGATGTGAGATTTATTCATATTTAACAACTGTAGTAAATATGAATACCAGAGCTGGGATTGTAAGCTTGTGCGTAACTGTAGAAAAAACAAAGAGTAAGAAACAGTAATTAACCCCCTGTGTGTTGTTTCAAGTCAAGTGGAATGTTTTTCAGCAGCAGTGTTTAGTTTGGATGCTCGGTTGAAAATGTGGAATTTTTTCCGTAATCATTTTTATTCGAGGCATGATTAAACACAGAGTGATATTTCACCCAGGTTTACATGATCCAAAGCTAGAAAATCTATTCAGGTCATTGCTATGTTTTTTAGCACAAACTGTGGAAAACAGAAGAGAGATATAAAAATCAGCCATGGGTCTGCTTTCTGTCCCTCGCACTAACCTCCATACCTTTGGGGACACAACCTTCAGTGTGGCGGCCCCCACTTTCTGGTACTTTCTCCCATATGATCTTCCCAATGCCACGTCACTGGACGGTGCATTGGGCTGGGCTTCTCAGAACTCACCTCTTCAACAAAACCCTCAACCTCAAGCAAATAGTGTTTTTACTCTTGTGTAAAGTGTCCTTGGGTTTCTTGAAAAGCGCTATACAAATCTAAGTTGTTGTTGTTATTATTATTATTATTATTATTATTATTATTATTATTTTTATTATTATTATTATTATTATTATTATTATTATTATTAAAAATTCTCACCTCACTTTGTTTCTCCCAAGCCAACAGGCACAGCAGAGTCCTGTGGAAAGAAAAATGTCAGGTAATCACACTGATAAAAAAAAGATTATAAATCTCAAATATGACTGATTATGACTGTATTGATAAAAATCATTATTTTTTTAATGTTATGACACGAGTAAAGTCACCAGCTGCCATAATAAAGCAGTGACTTTATTAGATGCTCATAAAAAATACTGACTTTTAAGCTTCCCACATAGCAAAATTGGTATGGCCCAGACGTGGCCCACACAATGTGCTTACACATGGCCCACATACTGCAAAGAATGACGGCCCTTTGGTGGCCCAGATCTGGTTTGCCAAATGTGGCCCATTCATGGGCCAGCACAAGGCCAGTTGCAGACACACTGGTGGTACTGTGCTGGCCCATGTGTGGATTATCTCTGGCAAACCTGGTCTGGGCAACCAAAGGGCTGTCATTCTTTGTGGTATGTGGGCCATGTGTAAGTTGTGTGCAGCCACGGGCCAGTTGCAGACACACTGCTGGCCCTGTGCTGGCCCAGAACAGTTTCAGTTCTGGCCCCAGATGTCAGCCTAATGTGTACCTTAATTAAGCCATGTAATAACAACATGTGCATAATAGTGCAAAAGTAACATGAAAAAACTCTGTTCAGACTGATTCTTCAACTCTCCCAGATTACTGAAAGTGCTCTATACAACATGCCACATTCACCCAATCACACACTTTCTCTTAACTGAGTGCTTCCTAACTACATTCATACACTTTCACACTCTTGACATGCAGACTGGATGAGCCAGGGGACCG